ATCATTGAGAAGTCAAGAAAACAAATATATCATAAGAACCACACAAACCCAAATCGAAACCCCAATCATCAATTGAGAAGCATAAATTTTCATAGACCATGTTGGATTTTAAAAACATATTAACCCTGTTTAATTTATAGGAAGAAGTATAAACTGGATTAATTCACCCACTCTTGCACTTGAGACTCAAACACATCCACTGGCCAAAGGATGTGCTTTAGAGCCTCGGTCTGTATTATGTTCTAAGACCGAGACTCTCTGCTTCTGTCCTGCTCCTGCTCCTGCATCCAGGTTTCGAGTCAATGCTATTCTTTGATATTTATGCGTGATGGTGATTTCTCTCAACACTTGCTAATTGCCTATGACTCTATTTAGAGATGTACAGAACAGATCAATACCAACCCCACCCCACTTTTTATTCCATTTTCCTATTTATATTAAATTATACTCCGTAACATCATCAATAACCATTTATGTGCTATTTTGTTCAAGTTAAACTGTTAAATCACAAAGAAGGTTTTTTGAAGGGTAAGCAAAACATACCTCAAAAAATCAACTTGCTATTTAGGGATCAATAGTGCCATCAACCAACCTTTTAAAATTGCTTGAAGCGGATGAAATCACCGCAGCAACTTTCTTTCTAACAATGGTTAAGCTGCTGAATTTGTTTCAGAGCACACAAAGAAGAGGAAAGTTAATCAGTGTGAAATACTGTGTGTGAAGAGAGAAGTAGCATAAAGTGAAGAAATGTTACCAGGTAAAATACCTATCATAACCTTCAAACAGAAAGATTGACAGTTGTTCCAAAAGAAAGCCTGAAACATTAAATTTAATGATATCCCCTTAAGCAAGTGTTCTATGTAATATATAAAAGAAAAGATGGAAGTAACCCAAAAGGTATCTTGTAGAAACCTGGTATCTTATTATAAAAGAATAAGGGATTTCTTCCCCACAAATACAATACCTAACTTGCAGAACTTCAAGGTTTAAACTGCTCAATGCCCAAAGGTTCCAATTCTTTCACAAATAACAAGATCCTCTCTCTCTTCGCGTCCTCTCTTATTTATAGCCTTATTTCTTCAACCAACTAACCTAACTAACCAATGGGTAACAATCTGTATATGTTTAGCCAACAAGGCATATAGTTATCATTTCGGATTGTTCTACAGATGATGTAATGTGATCAAGTGATGGATAAAGAAATTGTTTCTACCCTCATCCCAAATAAAAACAAAAAACTGAAATAGTACAACTGTTTTGACTAATGCATTACTAGAGAAGGATTCTCTGGAGTTAGGAAACAACTTAACTCCCTATAGCTCAGCAATTCCCAACCATCCCTATAGGACAATATGATGATCCAGTCCTATTCCTCCCCATTATTTATTAAAGATGTAAAGCATAAACACTTGTAATCAAGAAAGATACTAACAGGACAATTAAATGTGAAAAAAGGAACTATAAGAACTCCAAACAATTAGTGATGACTACAATTAATAATGAATAAGATTTAAAAAAAAAAAAAACTAAGTATTTGATTACAATACTCAACTCAATGGTGTTGTTGCACTCTCATTCTCCCACATAAGTCTCTGTTCAGCCAATTACAACAACTACACTGGTTTACCCTATATTTACAATTTGAATGCTTCACACCAGAGAAAGTAATTATAGTTTTCTTTCCCATTAATTTTCTTCGGCAGTGATTTTCTTCACTAATTCCAATTATTACACTATTTTATAACATAAAAATATATTAAAAAAATAAAAAACATACAGCATATTGAAAACAAGATAGCTGAAAGAGAGACAAAACTATCAATATGAATCTAAAATGCATTAAACATGGATTGAATGATCACTGTTCAAGCAATACTTCTTTTAATCAACAAAATCAAAGATGGCTAAACCTAGTTTTTTTATCGGACTACATTGGGTTGGTTTACTTATACATCTATATCCATAACAACAGAACTAAACTACACAGAGCAATATAGTAAACCAATGTAAGATCCCAATTCAAAAACAATGAATCCTACCCTGTTCGGAACCACAAGTACATGCACGAAACTAAAATATCACTATCTTCAGTAAACGGAACATAAAGTGCTCAAGACTAAACCGCAAGTAAACACGGAACATGAATCATGTCCAAATTCGTTACGGATGAAGTGCGAATTGATTCTAGAAGGAGAAAGAAAAGTGTGGCTTCAACTACCAAATAACTTGTCATTTTCTTTCAAGCATTTCGTCGAACACTCGATAGGCACGAGGAGAACAAAAAATTGTTATCACTCTCACAGGCTCAATAAATCTGTCTTACAGCAACTACCAGTGACTCTAATTTGCACCATAGCTCGAAACGAAAACAGAAAAATAACAAAATGCTACGAAACAAATGACAGTGAAATTCCTTACCCTATAAATGAAACTCTGGAAACGCGTCACAGAGAAGGGAAAATGTGCGCATGATGTGAATTGAGAAAGTGTTTCAACACTTTTTGTCAAATACATATTGAAAATTGAAATCGTTAGTTGGATAAAATCAAATTGATTCCAACATATTTAATTAGGTTGAAATATTTTATTAATTTTAGCTTATGAAAATAATATTAAGGTTAATTTGATGCAGGCTGAAGCAGTGATAACTGTTCATCTCATTTTGAGGGTGAAATTGGGGTAGAAATAGGGCAGACTGAGAGAAAGAAAAAGAACTACACCGGTTTACTCTAAATTTACAGTATGTTTAAATGCTTCACACCAGAGAGAAGTAATTATAAGTTTTTTCCCCCGTTGTTTCCTAGGTGGTGGTTTTATTCACTATTGTCAAATATTACACTATCAAATGACATGGAAATAGATTAAAAAAAAAAAAAAAAAAGCTGCAGCATATTAAAAACAAGATAGCTTAACAGGAGACTAAAATATCTTTATTAATCTAAAATGCAATAAACATGGATTTTGTGTTCAAGCAATGTTTCTTCCTTCAACCAAGTCATAGATGACTGAACCTTTGAATTTTAAATTGGACTACAATGGGTTGGTCTATATCTACATCCATTCCCACAAAATCTGAAATACACTGACGAATACATCATTAAGCCCATGAATATTTTCTTGTATAAAAACAGTGAAATTTACTCTTTAAGGAATCTATGTCCATATATAACACTTACATACGCATATCATGCTCAAAACTAAAATGTCAGTCTCTTCAACTCATAAGTATACATGGAATATGAAACATGTCCATGTTCAGAATATTCACCTGAAATTGTCCGTCTAAGAGTGACTTGACACAATAAGGAGAAAGAAAATGACCAAATCACATTTCAATTTCTTTCGTGCATTCCTTCAAACACTCGATAGGCACAATAAAAACTAAAAATCGGTCATGCAGAAACTACCAATAACTCAATAATTTGCACTATAGCTCGAAACAGAAACAACTCAATAACAAAATACTACTAAACAAGAGATAGTAAAATTCCTCACCCGAAAACTCAGTAATGTGATTTTCTCCACGCGTCACAGATATGAGAAAATATGAGGATGCAAAAGACGATAGGGTTTGAGGCAAATTGGTTCTCCTCGTCGGAGAAGCTCCTACTGAAGTTCGTTATGCTTCACGGGCGATGGAGATGTGAAAGGAAGCCTTTCAGCCCTTCTCGTATTGTGGAAGGCGCCAGAATAACAAGTATATGTGAAACACGGGCTACCCTATTGGGCATTGCCTTTGGTTAAATTACTTGAAAAATATACTTTGAGTTTTACATTTCCAACTCTTTTTTTAATTTATTTCTACATTTTCTGTGTTATTGGTATTTTTAAAATATTTTAATATATTTAAATTTATATCTATTCTAAAGTATTTTTAAAATATTTTAATATATTTAAATTTATATCTTTTCTAAAATACTAATAGGTAAATAAACTAGTAGAAAAATGTTACTCAAATTTGTAAAATACTATCGAATTGTATAAATTATGCATAAAAAAATTTATTATGTTAATATAATTTTAGGTAAATTGTTCATCTCAGTGAGTAAAGTCAAAATTCTATATTTGATTTAATAAAAATATGTTCATTTCTATATAATTTCTTATCAATGCACAAAACGAAATATAAATTTAAAAAACTTAAGCAGTAAGATAATAAATAGGGGAACTAATATTTTTTTTTCTTTCAAAAAACTAGTATTTTGATTGTTTAGGCTAAATATTTATTATAAATAATTAAAATTTATAATAAATAAATTATATAAATAAATATTATGTTTAAATATATAAATTATATTTAAAATTTGTATAAATAGATATTTAAAATATATAAATTATATCTTAGACTTATGATAAATAATTTATATAATAATACAATATTATTATATTAATTAATAATTCATTTTAAAAATATTAAAATTTAATTTATAAATAATTACGAAAAATAAAAAGTTAAAAATTGAATTAGGTAAGGAGTTGAAAAAATTCTGAAAACTCTCAAAAAAAATTCCTAAACATATTTGCGTAAAATAAAAATTCTTATTTAATGTATAAATATTCATCATTAATATATAAAGACATTAGTTTTACTCATTTTTTAAAAATCTCTTGGCAACAAATCAATACATATTATCTTACTTGTAAGGACCTCTTTTTAACGAGAATATTTTTAAGAGTTTTTTTTTATTTTTTATTTCTAATCTATTTTAATTTGTGTTTCATATTTATTTTTAAATAAATTTGATATTTTTAAAATAAATTACTAAAAATTAAAAATAACATTGTATCACAATATAAATTTATTATAAATCAAAAGTATAATTTATTATTATAAAAATATCTATTTATACAAATTATAAATATAATATAATTTATATGTTAAATATAATATTATATGTGCACATAACTTACTATAAATTTCTGTTCAATGCATTTACTATAATACTACTAATAATAAATAACCTCAAATTTAAAACTCATAATAAAACTAAAATGTTAAATTAACCTATGAAGCCTAATAAAAATTAAATAGTGGAATTTACATTAGGTGCTTTACAAATTAAATTTACACAGGTGGACGTGGACTTGCTAAAAAAAGCCAAGTCCTTTTGAATGAATAAAAGATGTTACATATTGACTATTTTTTCCCTAGTGATTTAATGGATAAGAAACTGTCATCTCTTCAAGGCCAATTTCTTATCAATATGAGAGTAAACAATCTCCTGGCATCGTACAAGTCCACTAGCTCCTCCAAAGCACAGCCATTTTTCACTACCTTTGTTCATGTTCCATCTCACTCTGTGCAATGCTGCCATTTTGGGAGGGAAGACTTCAGGTATATTCCCAAAATCTGACTTTTCATCATCAGTCCCGGGAGTCATTGTTGACACATCATCATCATCTTTGCATACCAGATCTGGTTTTTCTACAGTTTTTTTCTTGCTGCCACTATTCAGTTTTGGCCTTTTGGGCTGCTTCACAGAAGATAAAGCTTCCCCAGAAACAACTTCCAAACCCACATTCTCACCAGCACCAATTGCTGCAGAAATTGAAGAGTTAATAAGATTATAAGAATTCTCAGAGAAACTATGTCAACTAATCATATTGGTACCATGTCATAGTTAGCAAGGCTGACCTAAAATCTGAGAGTCAGAATTTGGAGTTTCTGCCATTTGATTATTTGCACTTTTGCTTGCATTTGTCTTGGATAATAGGTCTCGGAAAGATTCTGCATATCGACCTTTGTCTTGTGGCTTTTTCCATAGGAAAGGAGTGTTTGACACAGGAGTGTTGATAACGATAGTTGAATCTTCCTCAGTTACCAACCCACAAAGGAAGCGTGGGGATCGACTGCGCACATGATCTGTCTCCACTTCTTTAGTAGTAAGCTGAGAATATCAAACAAAGCTCAGAAAAGAAAAGTTATTGAATTCATATGTACAAGGCATCAGTCAAGGATAGCAGTTTCAACTTTGAAAAATATTATTTACAAATTTGACAAATACTCTCAATCTGTACTTTTCCATAATACATTATAAACTGGAGTCCTCTCTCAAATTCTCGTTCTTAACTAAGGCAAAACATCCAGATCTTAGTTTTCATATAAGGTCAGGGCTGTCCATTAGTCATCGATAACTGTCGCAAGACAAGCAGGTTATTTCTTTAAAAGGCACCCATGTGCTGATATTGCCTCACATGATCACTTATTTTGTATTCAAGTCATTTTAAAATTTAGGGTAAATAAGACTATCCTTTCACACTCTCAAATGATCCCCTCTACCGTTCAGTGTGTCATTCCCTTACACCTTTATTTTTATATCACTAAAACCCCTTGTGCTTTTTCTTTAGTCACAGTTTGACACGAGCAGAAACAAAACAAAACACTATAGAAGTGTACTCTGAGAAACTGTGAAACTGCATGAGTAAAAGTATACCCTAAAATTTATATAGCCTATTCACTATTCAGCAGTAGACCCTTTTCACCTACATCACACATTTAGGTTTTCTGGATTAGAAAAAATCATGTGTTCATATCATAAAACTGTATAATAGGTCCTGTACTCCTATTCTCAAACTAAAGATATAAGACAGCCTTTAGTCCAATATATATGCCAATAAAATTGGGTTATTAATTTCATAAATAAGGGCACTGAGGCAGAAAACCTTTTGCAAAACAAGTGCTTAGCCATTTAGGGACGATTAACTACTAAATTTACATGAACTATGTGCCGAATGTGTTAACAATCAACTTTCTTAAATGCTGAAGTTACTAGGAGGCACATGCAAAAGCTATTTTGGCTTGTAATAACAAATTAACGATGTGTAAGAAATATTTCCTTGTTTTGAAATTCATCATAAAGAGTGGAAACTGTAAATTATTGACAATTGGGTCATAAGAGAAGCAGGGCAGGTAATTGCGAATGATGTCTCCCACAAAATATTAGAATTACCTGAAAACGAAAGACAGCACCATCTGTACCACAATAAGCAACCATGCCTGACATGATAAAAGTAATCTCATCATTTAGTAAATAGTATTAATGATAATGAATTGTTCAAGTGTTTCATTATGACACTAAGAAAACCAATAGTAACAAATTTGTCATCACAAGAGTTTGTTTGCCTTGAAAAACTAACAATTACTTTATTTGGTAAGATTAATAGTACACGAGATTTTCAATGCCTAAGGTAAAATGTTTTTAGCATTAAGGTTATATAATCATAATGTCATTAAAATAATGCATACAAAAAACGCACCTGTTATACGTGACACTTGAACACTCCAAATGGCAAAAGATGAATATGAAGAACCATGCAACCCAAATTGCTTTTTTCCACTGTATATTTCTCCAGTGACGGGGAGATCATTTGCAGCCTTCACCAAGCTAATGGTTCTCATTGTTCCATCCTCAAAGGACATAATGATGCAACTAGAAAAGTATAAACAAAATAATTATGGGTTAATCACTGACAAATTTAGACAGTATTTGATCCAGTTAAAATAATGCATTACCTTGGCTTTGACAGCCAATCCAGACTATATATCATTCTTGGCGCAGGATGGAGGCTCCTCAAAGGACGAAATGGATTACTACAAATAAATTTCCATGCATAAAGCAAACCATTGTAAACAAGTTTAACAGACTCCAATAATGGCTAAAATTAATTCCTCTGTAATGCTGCCTATAAACAAGATATCATACATGTTGACATGATAAGATACAACTATTTATCCTTTATAATGATGGAAACAGCAAAGCTAATTACACATGAACATCCAGATAATACCAAAAACAAAAAACGTTGCATCTACACTTGACTTATGATGCTGTGCTCCATTGCTCACTACGAATTCAAATGAATTGAGATCAAATTCATGATAGTGCAAGATTAAAAAAGACAGATGTACTAAAAACCAACAGATGTATCCTTTATCCTTGTATTCATAAGTCACAATTTCAGCTGCTCTCACAATATTTTGGCAAGACCCTTGAGTGGAGGATGGAAGATTACGTGAGAAATTTCAATGGTTATATACCATAGCATAGATAAGAATGTAAGGGTGGCAGATCTAGCATCTAGGAGAATGGCAGGAAGGGATTTGGGTCTATAATTGGAGATGAAGAAGGGCCTTATTTTAGTGGGAAAAAGAGTTATTGCAAGAAATGGAGGACAAGTGAAAAGCAGATAAAAAATTTTGCTTGGAAGCTTGCAGTAGACCGAATACCTTGTCTTCAAAATTTAACACAGCACAATGTAATTGGAAACAATGAAGGGATATCTAAGGGATGTGGCAAGGATGTGGAAAGTACAAAGCATTTGATTTTTGAATGTATAGTTACATCCCAAGTTTGGAAGGAATGCTTGAACTGGTGGCGCATTAGTTCAGTAGTATATAGTGATGCATAGGCAATTCTTTTTTACAATTTAAGGGCTTGCTTTCCCCACTGATTGCATTATTCCTCCGTTGCTCGAGGAGAAGCACAAAAATAGCCTAAGAAGGTCAGGGTAATATGGACCTTCCAGCTCCAAGAACTTCCCAAGCTCTTGATGCTCCAAGAGAGGAGGAAAACTGAAACCCTCACTCTTGAACCACTCTAACTTCAAAGTCTTTGGAGGAATGATTCTCCTACCCACATACCACTCAAAGTAGTAGTCTTGGGTTTCTTTGTCAACAAACCATTTGGTAATCAATTGATCAGCTCTTATGGGCAAAGGTCGCTTGCTCCCCCTGGCTTCAAGCTTATTGATTCTCTTGGAAGATGAGGCCATTTTGTGATTAAAGACGGGTTCTTGGGTTGGAGAAGAGAAGAAAATGAAGATGAATGCTTAGGGTTAGGGTTTGTGTGTTTATCTTGAGAGAATGAATGGGTTTTGTAGAAAATAAGAGGGTTAAGTGATTTTAAAGCCCTAGACACCGGATTGGGTAGAAGAGAGGTGCCACTTATGAAGGAAGGTGGGAGGTTGGGAGTTGGCGCGAATAAAATTGTTAAAAAACTGTCTGGAAAACCAAGGGTAGCGAAAATAATCGATTATCTATACAAATAATCGATTATTTGTATCAGTAAAATCAGTTTGAAAACCCGGTCTGCACTAAATAATCGATTATTTCTAGAATAATCGATTATTCCAGAGATTGACTCTTTCTAACCTTCCCAGATAATCGATTATTTGCCAAATAATCGATTATTCCAGAGACTTCTAGAATTCAAATTCTTCCCAGATAATCGATTATTTGTAGAATAATCGATTATTTGCCTAGTTTTACTTAAAATAATCGATTAAATTTTACAATAATCAATTATTTCAGAAAAGTTTTGTTTCACTACTTTAAACCTTATAAAACTTTCCTCATCCATTTCAACTCTTAAAAACACTCTTCTATAAACCACATTTCAATGTTTTATATCAAGTTTTATTCAAACAATCACACTCAAGTGCACATTCACAATCAATTCAAACAAGACTCATTGATAATTCCAAGTTTAATTCTCAATTGATTAAATCTTTCTTTTGGTAGAGGTTTTGTAAATATATCAGCTAATTGTTTATTTGTTTCAACAAACTCTACTATACAATCATTCTTTTGGACATGATCTCTTAAAAAATGATGTCTTATTTCTATATGCTTTGTCCTAGAGTGTAAGATTGGATTTTTTGTGAGATTGATTGCACTTGTGTTATCACATCTTAAAGGAATTTTGTTCAATTCAGTTCCATAATCTTTTAGTTGTT